GACGGGGTGTAGCAGGTCACTGACCATTTCCCCTTGGATTATGGCGGCTCTGTTCTGCTCTCCGTCCCTGTCTTCCAGCTCAGGGGGGCTGGGTAACCGGAGAGCAACTGGTCAGAACTATTAAAGACTGAGGCAAAGGTGGCATTAAGTACTTCAGCCTTTTCCTCATCCTTTGTCACTATGTTTCCACCCGCATCCAATAAAGGATGGAGATTCTCCTTACCCCTCCTTTTGTTGTTAATGTATTTATAGAAACATTTTTTATTTGTGTTTTGCAATAGTAGCCAGGTTATGTTCTAGTTGGGCTTTAGCCTTTTTAATTTTCTCCTTGCATAACCTCACAACATCCTTGTAGTCTTCCTGAGTGTCCTCTCCCTTGTTCCAAAGGCCACGCTCTTTCTTTTCCCTTAGGAAAGGTTAAGTAACTGAAGTCCACGTTCCTTTCTCAGGAATTTTGTTTCCAGTAGTACCAATTTCTTTTCATACTATATTGTGTTTAAAGTTCTAGAAGTGATTTGAAAGGAGTGTCTCATCTGCGTCATTAGTATACATTCCTGCGGCTTCTGGCTCAATTGACTTTAATGTCTCTGCTGGAAAATTTATGTCTTAACATTATACCTGTGGATTGATAAACATTAGGTTTCATATAAGTGTATGTATAGTCCCATATATATGTGTGTGTATATGTATATATATGAAGGACTTCTCTGGGATATAAAATACTTTATCACTTATTTTTAGGTTCTTGGAATCAGTGGATCTCACAGACAGTCAGAATATGGAAAGCATGTCTTCAGCAGAATTAGACAGCACTTTTAACAATGTTACAGGTAAGAGAGGTTGAAAGCTGATTTGCTCTTTCTTCTAACATACACAGTCAAGCTAAGGTCACAGTTACTGCTTCTCTAACTGTGTAACCTTACTTTCATTTACAAAGCCTTAGAGAATTCTTTTGGATTATTAGGCTGGAAATTGACATTACCCTATCCTTCTGTCTCGCAGCAGAAGCCTTTCATATACATGGAAAAATACTTTCATAGGAGGTAGTGCATAAATTACTAAACACAGATGGTGTTCTTAGTCATACTATATTAGATCATAAAGCAGAGTGGCATAACTCCCTCCCTCTAAAGCGGGATTCCTCAGAGACAGGCACTGAAAAACCTACTAAACAGCTGCTTGCTGCTGGATGGAAAGTTGTGTCAGTGGCAGAGTTGAAAAGTGCAGCGCCACAGAAAAGTAGTATCTTATAGACAGTTCTACAGATCCCATATTATTCTTTGAATGGTATTTTTAGCCCAGAATAAGAATACCTAAAAGTGAATTAAACTAAAGCTGGTTGGACATAGTCTGTATCTTTGCTTCTAGCTTTTAAAATCCTGTGTTACTTAACCATTATTAATGTGTGCTGTGACAAGATATTTCTATAAGGGTGCAAAAGTAAAAAATGAATAAATTCTTCATGTCTAGACTGTAACACTGGAAATCTAGAAATAATTTTGCACATATTTACTGCACTGTGTATCTCTAATAGCGATTGTTGAGAGGAGGGACCAGGCAGTCCTATTGTTTTTAGAAAAATATGTTTATGCTCTTGTCCAGAAAGATTACAGGGGTGTGAATACAGTTTATGTCAGCAGTATCTTTCACAGTTTACATTTGAAAAATGCTCATTTTGATAAGTGTTGCTATTTAATGTATACACTAATTTGTCCTTAAGTATATTAACTCTTGATATCTAATGTTTGTCTCCTGCTTACTTTGCTTTTTCCTTTTGCTTTATTGTTTTCATACATTATTAGCATTTCCTTTTTCCTTTGTTCAGGTTTTTGTTTGTGTGTGTATCTATCTGCATATCTATCTGTTTTTGTGTGTCCACATAATTGCAAACAAGAAAAGAAGGAAGGAAAATAATTAGGAAATTCTTCTTAATTTTAGATCTTGAATCACACTTACAGAGATGTCAGCAGTTATCTGTTACAGGTAGGAAACATTTTCACCTCAAGGTGAATTTTATTTTTACTAAAGAACAAAAATATTTTTGAGACATCAGCTCAGAAGTTGAAATAATATCTTTTACTTATTATAGGAGGAGCTATTTTAGGAGTATAAGTTTATGAATGTTACATTGGTTTTATTCCATTTGTAAAGGAATACAGCATGTTTATATATTCTACTTCCATTTGATTGTTTCTACGTGTTGAATTTCTGTACCCTGAAGTACACAGTACTCCCACAGCCTGTTGTGATTTATCTTAAAGACTGTAGTAACATGTTGTATTGATAAAACTGAAGCTGCAACTGAGAAGGGAAGAGAAGCTGGGAATTAAGGGTAAATGCATACCTGCAATGGCCATTTCCCGTATGCCAAATATTATAATGTTTAATAGGTATGCATGGCTTTTTTTGCATGTGTGTTGTTATTTTGCAGTATTAACAGATCATCAGGATTTGAATAACACGGAACTGAAAACCATTCTGAACAGTGCAGCTCCTCAACAGTATCGCATAAGAGCAAAGCTGAGAACTTATAAACCCCAGAAGCTCTATCAGTCAATTAAACTCCATTGTTCCAAATGCAACTCTTTGTAAGTGTTTCACACAATAAAAGTAATTAGGAATTTTTCTATATGTGTTGGGATGCCTAGATTTTGAGTGTCTTTTCATTCTCTTTTTCTATGTAAAATGAGATGAAGTTAAATGTATTTCATTTTGAGCAAAGATTTGAAACTCACTGATAATAGGTAGGAAAGTTTTAAATCATCAGATGATTTCCATTTACAGAATCCTTTGAGTGCTTTCAGAACAATAACTTTTTTTATTTTCAAATTTAGCAGTGTGGGTGTTCCCATACTGAAGTTGCATTTAAGTACCCTTTTCTGTATTGCAGTTTTAAAAAAGGATATGCAAAAAGGTATGATGGTGTCCAAGCGAATGAATAAAATATCATTGACTAAAGTGTGTCTTCCAGAGAAGGCATCTTTCCTGGATCCAAAACTACCAAGGAAACACCATTCACCTTGGTATTTTTGTCATTTTTTGTGACCTGAGTGTGTTCACTGACCATTTTACCATTGTTATTTCCCCTTTAATGATATTTGTCATTGTATCAAACAATGCTCAGTCAAATAATCGTACACCATTTCTGGTGTACATTCATTTAAAAATGAAAGAGAGTTTGTTTGAAATGGCCTATTTTTGACTAAACTACTGAGTGACATGAATTACAATGCTATTCATCTGAATCCTGTATCACCTTTTTTTGCCTGATTTAGCCTAGCATCAGTCCCAAGCAAACAGCTTTACTGTTACTAGTGTAAACTATTGCTTTCTTTAAATGATGGCATGTTAGCATTCTCCTAGCCTTTTGAAATTTTTCACACAGTCAAGACTTGTTAGATATAAACATCACTGAGACAAGAAAATGCCTCTACTATCCTTCTCTTACAGCTTTTGGATGCAAAGTAGCACACTTGCAGCTTTAACAATAGCGGTCCTTATCAGATGTTGTTATAACATTCTCTTGGTTGCTAATGTAAGAGCAAGTGCTGCATCATCTTCACAACATACAAATATGTGGCCTTTATTACCAAATATAAAAAGGAGATAATCAGCAACCATTTCTCCACTTTTGACACTTTTTTGACATATTTGCAAACTCCCTGTAGTAATAAGCAGATACAGTTGATAGAATTTTGTTTGTTCTTTATGAACTTTATCCTTATCCCACAATTTTCCATGGCTAGTCTAGCCTTTTTATATATTCTTGACTTAATTAATGTCTTAATTTCTGTTCATTTGAGCCTCCTCCTTTTTCACATGTTGCTGCCTTCTCTTTGCTACAGAATTAGGGCAGACTTTTAACCAGATAGAATTGTGAGGCTTTAGTTAGCATACTTCCTACTGCTACTACTACCATCATGCTGCAATGATGGGACTACTTGCAATGCTTTCTCAGAAATTTGGCTTCTCTTTTCTCAACTGTGTGTCAGTGGAAGGAATCAGTGAAATATAGTGGTGCTGTACCTCAGCCTGGATTGGATGAGTTAAGAGGCCCAGGAAGGAAAGATGACTTAGGGGCATCCTTCTCTCCTACAGGTTCTGCTGTGGCAGAAATTGTTTCATGTTTTATCCTACGGTGAAGAGCCTGACTGAACAAAGTTCAATGCAAATTTGATCCTTTAATACTTTATGCAGTAAGATGCATATAACACTTGGGGTATAAAATCCTCGTGAGAGATGTATTTTTGTTTTTTAGACTTCAACTGGAAGCTTCTCTGTGAATAGCAAGATATCGATACATGGTTGTAGTTTTATTTATGTATCCACATTACAGAAGTTTCAACCCTTGTGCGTAGGGTTGAATTGTTCAAAAACAATTTATTCCATTCCTGCCTCTCTGGGAAATCTGCAGGCAGTCTTGGGTTTGAAAGTGAAATAGAATAATCTGCAGGCATTGATGATATTTTTTCTTTAACTCCACTCTGAAGCTTGGCACCTACTTTTTTTCAGCTTTTTATAAAATAGCCCAAGCTTTTGTCTTTTTATTCATTGTCCTTTTTGTCATGGTTCATATTGCACCTGAAGCCATCAGGTCTGTCTTGCTTAGGAGAAAACATTCTAATGCATTTTTAATTTGTGTGCCAATCACTGGCACGTTGCCTGTAATTGGCAATATTGGTAAAACTTGAATGGCCTGCATTAATTCTCTGTGAATAACAACTGGAAATGCATCAGTGGTGCACTCTAGCAGGATAGGAAAGAAACTGTGTGGTGCAGAGTTGCAGATTTTCCCTGTATAGTACATATATGAAGCTATTCTGCTCCTGCCCGTTTTTCTTTTCCCCGCCTCAAAATAGCAAGGTAAAATAGCTAGAACATAAAACTTCAAAATTATAGGAGCTTACATGGTCCTTTTACTCTGCTGAAGTGGTATGCAGTTATGTGGCCCTTCTAAGGCCCAACTGAAATCACATAAAGCTGGTATGTTTTTCCATGGATTTACATATGTGTGGATGAAGCCACTAAGCTGCCTTTGCTCCTAGGTAAGATTATAGATTACTTAGCATATTTACTAACATGGAAATGAAATATCTTGTCATACTTTGCTATACAACTCTAAATGTTAAACTGATAAAACAACAAAGTTATTTGTCATGTGTATACTTTAACTGTTATCGCTATTATTTTAATATTTATTTGGAGTACTGTCATCCTTGTTGCGAGATTGCTGAAGGTGAAGCTGTTAGAATTTACTTGCTCATTTTGGAAATGGTTTTAGGCGAGAAGTTCCAGATGGAGATGACTTTGACTTTATTTTACAAGGCTCTGCTGTTACTGCCCCAAACGCAGAATTACACAATACATCCTGGTATGATTCTGTAATGTGGACTACACAAGACCAGAAACAAAGGAAAATAGCTATCCATTTTGTAAAGCATGATGAAATGCTTCAACAGGCTGAAGATACTTTGCTTATGATAGAAGGTAAGATAAATTGCAAATATGCCATTTCTTATGGCACAGTATCCACTTTGAGTATCTGCAAAGTCAAAATATATTGAAGTTGTATTCAGTGTAGGTAGTCATGATCATACAGGCATCTTCAAAGAAAAGAAAAACTCAGCTGGAACTTTGTTACTGTTGTGCAAACAGGAAAAAGTCATCTGTGAAGGTCTTGTAAGGTGCTTCTGTCTATTTTAAAACTATACCAATAAGTTTATTGTTGATTCTGCTAAAATTAACATCTGAATATGCTTTTTTCTAGCTGTGCTTAGTGATTTTTCAGTTCTGATTTGAAAACTCACTGAGTCTTCTAAAAAAAACCTGTTTGTAGTCCTGATGTGGACAAGATTTGGAAGGCTTCTGATAATACAAGCCTACAATTAACTCTGTCAGCCTCTGGATGTCAGTGTTGTTTCAGATTAATAGAGCTTCTCACAATGTGAGTTTTTTTTGGTTTGTTTTTTATCACATTTCCTCAGGGAAGAGAAATAGCCACTGAACTTTAAACAAAACAATTTAGCAAGAATACTAATAAGGAATGTTTTTAATAGAATAAAAGTAAAAAATAATTGCATATAGTACCATTCTGAGTTTAAAACAGTCTTCAGTTGTGCTCAAGTAGTGCTGTGAATAAGCAAATATAAGTCAGGTGGTCCTTGTGTAAGGGTCAATGACAAAACCCCATCTGTTTTCTGCTTTGTTTTATATTCAACTAGTTCTGATAGCTGCTTTATTTCTGACATGTTCCAAACTGGATTTTTTTTTTTTTTTTTTTTTTTACAATCTAACCTTAACTTTGTGAAAACAAAAGAAATAAGAATCTGTTTCTACTCTTTTTTCCTAGATCAACTGAACAATATAACTTGGTAAATTGTTTTTCGGATATTAAAGTCCCAGCAGCTAAGAATGTGTGTATATGGATATATGTGCTTCATATTGGAGCACAAGGAAAAGGCATAATCAGTTTTAGCACTTTTTTCCCAGAACATTGATCATAAACCTTGCCAAAGCTACATGCTATTTTAATTTTTAAGTTTTTGGAGGTGGAGATTTTGAAGTCTCCCTAGAAATCTTCCCAGCACTTTTCCAGATACAGACAGCCCTCAAGTTGAAAGTTGAAAATCTGGAGACCTTTTAGCAATGTCTGTTAAAACTACACTGAATTTTGTGTGTTAATCTCTTTAATGAGAGTTCAAATGTATACGAGAGGCTGTATCTGTGTTACTGTACTTGGACGACCTTTGTTTTCTAACCTTTTGGGAAGCCATTTCAAATATTCGTGCCTCAGTTTTCTTTATCTTTTTTTTTTTTACTAGAAGTTAAGCTTATTGATGAGGTTTCATGTCGTTGTACATTTTTTCATCACCAGTAATAAAGCAATTTTATTTATTTTATTTTCTTCTCTAGTTATGTCTGCAATACCAGTAACAAATATATGTAATAAATATTTTACAATTCAGTTTCATACTTATATGTTATAAAGTCTTTGAAATGTCTTAGTTATAGGTTAGTGGTAAACAACACAGTTGTAGAATATATTTATTTTTAAACAGTTTGCTCACTTTTTATAATTGTTGTTCACCAGCTGATTGAATGATGTATTTTTATTGAACTATTTCCAAATAACTGTTCTCTGTGTGTTAAATTAATAGATCTACCACATTTCCACTGAATTGGTGAAATGTCAGAAAGATTCCATAATCAGTTCTGCAGTCCATACTACAGACACTGAAGGCAGGTTATCCCATAACTTATAATAAATTTGAAAGATTTTTTCCTGTCACTGGAATTAGAAAATCTCAGGGTTCCAGCTGTAATATATTAAATTTCTGCTGTGTTCCTAGCATGGCTCCAGTTTAGTAGCACTCAAATTAGTCTGAAGTTTGGTGGTTTTGCATTTCTCATCTCATGTCAATTATGACGTGATTGAATAACTACTTTTTCACAAACTGCTGGTTAAAAATTAATAGATTTTTGCCACTTAAAAGCTGAAAAACCAGTTACTTAGGAGGAGCAATTGCAAAAAGTCAGTTTATTTTTTTCCCCCCAGTAAAATTGCTAGTAAAATCATAGGAGAAATTATATGAAAGTGATGCTGACTAAATACAACTATATGGAAGATACTAAGGCGTCTGCTCTAATAAATGTCCATCTTTGATTCTTTGAGTCTGTTGTTGAGTAAAAGTGATAAGGTTATGGACCATTTTTTCAGTTTTCCATAGTGGGTCTCAATTTTTATTGAAGATCCTGAAATCATCATCTAATCAGCCAAGAAATGCAAGCTGTTCAATTTATTCTTGATTACAATTTAAAAAAAAACTTTTTTTTCTGTTTTTAATAGGTGGAACACTAAAAGAAGTCTGGAAGCTTACAAAAAGATTTAAATGTGTTATTCCTGTGAGATCTACAGAAAATGATCTTGAATTATTAGATCTTTCAGCTCCTTTTCTTTTACAAGGGAACATAAAATATTATGGGTAGGTTAAAAGTATTTGTTGACATTTTAGTAGTTGCCACAATAGATAGATAGATATCATTTTCTTCAGTAATTCAAACTGCAGTGCTCAAGGGATAACTTAAAGATTCTTCAATGCAAAATACATCAGCAGCACTGAGATTGGGATGAAATGCCATAGTACTACCTCATATCAAAAGACTCAACTGTAGTTGGGCTTTATCTTGCACTATAAATCTTATGCCCTTAATTACACAGCACGCCAGGTTCAGTCCTGCCTGTTGTGTGTGACCCAAAAGACCCACAAGTCTATGGGGCCTGATGGGAT